TTCGGTTTTGGGTTTTGGGTTTGGGGTTTGGGGTTTCGGGTTTTGGGTTTTGGGTTTTGGGTTTTGGGTTTTGGGTTTTGGGTTTGGGTTTAGGGTTCAGGGCTTAGGGTTTAGGGTTTAGGGTTCAGGGTTTAGGGTTTAGGGTTTAGGGTTTAGGGGTTTAGGGTTTAGGGTTTGGGGTGTACCGTTTAGGGTTTGGGGTTTAGGGTTTTGGGTTCAGGGGTTTTAGGGTTTTGGGTTTTGGGTTTTGGGTTTAGGGCTTAAGGTTTTGGGTTGTGGGTTTTGGGTTTAGGGTTTAGGGTTCAGGGTTCAGGGTTTAGGGTTTAGGGGTTTAGGGTTTAGGGTTTGGGGTGTACCGTTTAGGGTTTTGGGTTTTGGGTTTAGGGTTTAGGGTTTGGGGTGTACCGTTTAGGGTTTATAGGGTTTAGGGTTTAGGGTTTTGGGTTTTGGGTTCAGGGTTTAGGGTTTAGGGTTTAGGGTTTAGGATAGAAAGCATGGATTTAGGATGATTATTGCTGGGATCCCCTATACTTTACCTGGAGGGCATGAGGATAATGATGTTCCAACTTTCTGGCTTATGATTTACACTATCTTGCGGGCTCCTTATTGTAATTATGGTATACTATGCCCCAAACCCCTATTCTAATTATTAAGGCCCCTACATTACTGTATGGGGGTTCGGGGATATAAGGTTTAAGGTTAGAGGGTTAAGGCTTATTGGGGTTTAGGGTTCAGGATTACAGGGTTATAGGGCTTATAGGGTTTAGGATGTGTGGCGTAAAAAGAGTGGGCCTTTATGATTGGCATTCCAAAATGCACACAATTAAATGTTAGAGTGAATTTAGTGGCTGTAATGCTTAAGACGGGACTATGCGATGCATTCAGAATAACATGCCCTTGTATACAAGGGGATATAGCCATTCTATACTTACACCATGATATGTGTTCAAACCTCAGTCTGGTTGCTAAGCCCTAGGACTTTTACGGTCTGGGTTTTTGGATTAAGGTTTCAGTGGAGGGTTTAAGGTTTGGCTTGTAGGGTCTGCCGGGCTCTAGGGTTTAAAGGCTTTTGGGTTTATGGGGCTTTCAGGGGCATTGTACTTTAGGGGCGAGGCTTACATGGAGGACAGCACTTAGCACGTAAGTATGGTGGGACACTGTAGGCGCACGGGTTCTAAAGTTTAGATGTCGAGCCTTCTGCCGCGGTGCGTGTGTATACAATACAGCTCTTCTGTGTTTTTGGTAGTTTTTCTCTGAGATGTGAGTCAACGAGCAGAACTCTGCATACTGCATTCCGGAGCTGAGATGACCCTTGATTTATACACTCTTCTCCCTTAGTGAGAAATATTACCGGGATCTTGTTTGTCCTAGATCTCGTTTGTCCTAGTAAAGGCCCTTGCAGTGACCTAGTTAAGGCCCTTACAGTGACGCCACATCCTTCAGCTCACAATCTACGAAAAGAACTGCAAGGAGGTCCGCAGCGCCCTGATCGATATCTGCAGCTTCTGGGAACACAGAGACTCCAATACCCCTTAATTAAGGAAGATACCTTAAATCATAGGAGGGATCCTACTACAATTTAAGGTATATTCCAAAATTAAGGGACATTAAATCATATTAGGGATCCTACTATAACTTAAGGTATATTCCAAAATTAAGGGACATTGGAGTCTCTGGGAACACAAGTTAGCATCGTCGAAGTTCCCACGACAAGGCAAGGCAGTCCGACACATGAGCGGGTCTGGGGTTATCGTCGAAGGGTTTATAGGGCTTATAGGGTTTATAGGGCTTATAGGGCTTATAGGGCTTATAGGGTATAGGGTTTGGGTTTTTTGGTATAGGGTTTAGGGTCTACAGGGTTTAGGGCTTATAGGGGCATCTTCAACAACGCCAGCTTCGCCGAGGAGTTGATGATTCGTTGCGAAGTCTTGTGCAGTGCTTTCGGTTCGGAGGTTTTCGGGTGTTTGGTTTCTTGATTTCCGTGGGATGGATTTATGGGTTGTGCGTTTTGGGGGATGAAGGAATTGTTATTACCCTACACCCTAAACCCCAAAACCCCTAAACCCTAAACCCTATTGATGTTGTAGGCCCCGGCAGCAAACCCAAGGCGCTCGCAATCCGAAACCTGGAACTCTGAAGCCGCAAAAGCAAGGGTGCCAGCCCAACCTCATTCAGGGGCCCGCCAGTGACCCCGGCATTGGTGGATGCTGCACTTTGGCTGAAATATGTGTGTGTGTGTGTGTGTGTGTGTCTTTTGGACTCCGAACCCTACCCTAAAGCTTTTTTCTGAACCTGAACCAAACTCTATCCTAAACCCTATCTTCTGAAACCTTAACCAAAACCTACCCTAAACCCTACATTCCGAAACGGCAACAAAAACCCTACCCTAAACCCTAAATCTGAAACCTGCACCTAAACCGGGTCTGGGGGGCTGTCGAATTTTATGGGGTGAATTTTGAGGACATCCAGCGCTCGAAGGGTATCTGGCTACCCACCTCATGTCCGATTCTGTTTAGCGTTTAGGGGTTTAGGGGTGAGGGGTTTGGGGTTTAGGCAAGGGGCGTCATGCAACACTACTTGCAGCCTTTTCGGTTTCAGGCGTGGGATTTTTAAAATGAGTTCAGAGTCGTAGCAAGAACAGCAACCATTGCAGGAGCAAGTGGGAACAGCAACAGTGATGTGGACAACACCATCCTCATCAACCCTGAACCCTGAACCCACTTAATACCCTAAATGTGCTGCCAAGCCAACCCTAAACCCGAGATCCTGAACCCTAAATCCGAAACCCTAATCCCGAAATCCCAAACCCTAAACTCCTAAACCCTCAACCCCTAAACCGTAATGCATAAACCCCAAACCCCAAACCCCAAAACCCCTAAACCCTAAACCGTAAACCCTAAACCCTCAACCCTAAACCCTAAACCCTAAACCCTCATGGTGCAAAGGTCCTGGGCTGCTTGTCCTTGGCCTGGCGGTCTGCTCTGGACCTTCTTCAGGACCCCTAAAGGGTCTACGGTTTAGGTTTAGGGTTTAGGGTTTAGGGTTTAGGGTTAGGGTCTTGGGTTTTTAGGGTTGTTAGGGCTTTTAGCCCATTTAGGGCATTTTAGGGTTTAGGGGTTTTGGGTTTTGGGTATAGGATATAAAGCATTGGGTTCTGGTAACCATAGTAGAAAGTAGCTGTGCGTCATCTTCAATGTCGTTTATCTGTGACCTGGAAAGGACATGCCGCGCCGCCAGCTGCAGCCGACTCTGTTCTCCTACAGTCGCCGCTGGACAGAGTTGCTGATGCTGATCCCCCCCCTCTCTCTCTCTCTCTCCCTCTCTCTCTCTCTCTCTCTCTCTCTCCCTCTCTCTCCCTCTCTCTGTATCATACAGTTGCTGCAACAAAAATTCATCACTCTCTCTCTCTCTCTGCCTTTCTCTCTCCATGGGAAAGCTGCGGCAAAAAAATGAATCAAGCTCAAAACTTCTTAGCGACAGGTCTCGGGGATCTCGGGTCCTAGAGTTTCGAGCTTCGGGTCCCAGCAAGCTGAGGATGTATGAATGCTTGCGCCGAAGGCGTGCAGAGACTGGAGGCCACGGGGCACGCAGTGTCCACACACGTCGCGAGCTTTGAAGTTTTGGGTTTAGGGTTTAGGGTTATGGTTTAGGGTTTAGGGTTAGGGTTTTGGGTTTAGGGTTTAGGGTTTAGGGTTTAGGGGGGGGAAGAGTGAACGTGGTGATGTTTTGGGTCCTGACCTCCGTGAACCCAAATGCCTGAGCAAAGCTAAGATGTTGAATCTCTAATTAACCCTAAGCCCCTAAACTCTAAGCCCCTAAACCCTAAACTCTAAACCCTAAACCCTAAACCCTAAACTTCAGAGCCTCGGCCCTAAACTGTTGCAGTTCAAGGCTCATGGCGTAGAGGATTCGGTGTCAGGTGCAAGGCTTGTGGTCTAGGGGTTGGGGTAGGGTTTAGGGTTTAGGGTTTAGGGCTTTCCTGGGTTCGGATTTAGCATAGTAGGAGAAGCAGTTCGTGCGGGGGCCTGTTTCACTTAGTTGATAGTACTGTGCCTAGGGGCTTTGGGGTTTGGGATTCAAGGGCAGGGTTTAGGGGCGTAGGGCCTAGTGCTGTAAACCCTAAACTCCCGACCCCCCAGAAAGCCCCTTTAAATAAGGAATATACCTTAAATTATAGGGGCCTTCATATTATGATTTGAGGTCTATTCCTTATTTAAGGGGTATTGGGCTCTCTGACCCTGTGCGATAGGCCTAATACTGTAAACCCTAAACTCCCGACCCTAAACCCTAAACCATATAGACCCTATAGACCCTAAACCCTAAGCTCCCGACCCTGTGCGATAGGCACTGGGTGCCCCGGATGCGCGGCCATGGCGGTTTGCTGTGCAACTCCTGAGCGAGGCCGTGGCTCTGGGAATCCAGTGCTCATGGGGTTTCTACAAGTTTTATTGGAAGCAATATAAGGTTGCTAGAGGGGTTCTGTGGAGTGTTCTCAGATTTTGTAGGGGCGTGATTTCGCTTTTTGAGGGTTTTTATGAACTCCAGTATGTGTCAGCAGAAACGTGTACCGGATGAACGGTTTCGAGCACCGCAGTGGCTTCCAGTTGGATTTCGTAAGCGCTTGCCCCGCATATTGCCATGGTGCCCGCCTCGGCACGGCTGCTCCCTCACGGGGGCTGAACGAACGGGTACCCCTGTCATCCTGGCTCGGCTCAGGGTCTAAGGGCTGGTACATGGGCGTTTGTTGAGGTGGGATACCATCGGGGGTGAGGGTGGGTGGGCGGCGCGTTGAGACCGGGTGTCAGGCCCAGGACTTGGGGATGTTCAATCGGGGTTATCTTCAGGCAGCAACTTGACACTACTTCTATTGCATCCTTGTTCCCAAGTTTAGGGTTTCTGTTCACGCCGCTGATGTTCGCGTCAGCGCAGCTTTGCATTCTGTTGTTGATCAAGACTCACCCCGAAGCCCCCAAAGCGAGAAACCCCAAGACCCTAAAACGTCCCAACATCGAAGCCCGAAACGTCTCATAGAACTTGTGCTATAAGCCCTATCAGACCATTCAAAAAGTCAACCCTAAACCCTAAACTTCAAAAGCCTCAACTTAGGAGCTTAAAGGTCAACAGAAGCCGAAAAGCCCGGCTTCCCTTAGTTACTGGCGACAGGGGGGAGGAGTCCTCGAGCCCTTTCGAAGAATTTCGCGGCCTGAATACTACTTTTTTAGGGTTCCCTCGTATACTGATAGTTTAATAATAATAATAATAATATACCGCAAAATGCCCCAAACCATTTTCTAATTATTCAGGCCCCTTAGAATAACTTCTTCTGTTTCTCTTCTGTTTGGGAGTCAAAAATGTAGGTTTGGGTATGTTACGACTTTGTTGGTATAGGCCTACGTCATGAACCGTGGGTTGATGTTTCGAAGCTCCAGAAATCCCACGCAAAATTGATGACTTTAGTCAAAGAATCAGGGGGCCATACTTGTCGTTGCGCTTCAAGTACTTACATCCTTACTCACCATGTCCCTAGTCCTTCAAAGTAGGGTTCACGGCGACAGGCGCAAGCCCACGGAATTCAGGAGGATACGGTCTTGGACAACACGCTGTCGGAGCCTTAAAACCGTGGGGAGGTGAGTTCAGAGTTCAAAGTCAGGGAAAGACCTGACAAATCAGCCCCCTCCCCTAAACCCTAAACCCTAACCCTAAACCCCTAAGGACTCATAGTTTAAGGCTTTTGGGCCCAGAGACCATACTACATAAGGCTTTCGGGCTATTTTGAGCCTTAGGGTAATGAGCTGCAGAGTAGAGTCGAGGTCCTAGCATGGGAAAAGCGGTGTTATCGATCAGGGTCCAGAGTCTAAAGGTACGAGTATCAGTGTAATTTCGTGAAGTAGGAGATCTCCCACACTTGAAGGTCAGACTGGAGAAGTTGTCCCAAGGATATCTTGAACCACCTTACTTACTCAGTCCCCCCTGATGTAGACCCTAAACCCTAAACCCTAAACCCTGATCTCTGAAGTACTTCAAGAGTGTAGACCCCGGGTCATGGCGTCACCGGGCCATGCAGCAAGAAGGGAGGGATGCAGATACTGTACATCAGCACGCCAGTTCTTGCGAATCAGATGAAGAGAAGGTATCAATGCTACCATGTTACGCATTGTACGGATGCCGTGTTGCTGTTGTTGCTATCATGACGATGACTTATCTGCTGTACGCGGGCTTAGTATTGAAGCCTCCGGGAGTGACAAGAAGGGGTAATCATGTGCATTAGGATCCCGCCATTTAGGGTCTACGATACGGTGCCTTAGTTTTCTACAACTCCCGAATGGATGCTGTATAACACATGCCTTCAAGGGCATGGTGATATACTGCACCGGTCCCTGCACTGCTAGGCCCCACAGCCCTTATCCACCTGAACCCTTATAATCCCCAACTCGCGATAGAACCTTTTCTCAATCCTGTAAACGATCCCTATACCCTGCAGTAATCCTTGCAATTTGAAAGCCTTTATCAGGACGTTCCGGAGGCCCCAAATTCGGTCACTAAACCCTAAACCCTAAACCCTAAACCCTAAACCCTAAACTTTAAACCGTGTCCAGGATGCGCTGCCTCGCAAAAAGGTGGCGCGTGGGTCAAGAGCTGCTGAGCCGCCCGGAGCCTTGGAGGGATCGGGAAGGGGTTATAGGACAGGGGTGGAGCAGGGAGGGGCATATGGGTGGTTGTCAAAATTATGGTCCCTTTTTGGGTCCTTATTATGATACGGCACCTATTATTTAGGGTACCCCAAAACGGACCATAATTTTGACAACTACCCATATAGCAAGAGCCATTGTAGGTTTCTGATTAATAAACCAAGCTTTCCTGTGTGGCTTTAGTATCAGGATCTCTTCCACTGTCTTTGTTTAAGAGAGGGCTTTCTGCGCCATGCTGTTCTGACGCTGATGCAACTTGTTGAGATAATTTCTCAATTGCGTGCAACAACTCCTACGTGGCGGCGTAGGAAGGGGGCACCCTCAAGCTTGCAACAGTTCAGAGACATCCCTGCTAGTCAAAACAGAGTTCACAAGTTGTCAGAACCCTAAACCCTAAAACCTAAACCCTAAGACAGCTCAGGCGGCTGGCAAATGGTTCTTTAGGACAACGGGGATGGTGTTTCGTAGTTTTCTGATTAAATCTCTGATAAAGTGTCTCTAAACTTGGTTCAGAGTTGAGGGCAAGCTGCACACAAAACCATGAATCGTTTAGGGTTTATGTGTCTGAACTTGCCTCCATATCTCCATGGAATCTATGCTTCCGGCTGGTATGCAGAGGGCTATGCACTAACCGTCCGAGCATAGTTCTAGAACTCCATGCTCAGGCTAAGGGTCTTAGTCTATAGGTTTAGGGTTTAGGGGTTGGGGGTTTCGGGTCTGGGTCGAGGTTTCGAGACTTCTGTGAAACTTGTCTAACTTCATGACTCATGACGGTGCCGCATACAGTGATGCGGCATTAAGTCTGTAACTCTGCCCTGCGCCCTCAAATCTGGGACCGCTGCAGTACAGCTACAAAAAGCCCCCCCTCCTTTAAATAAACGGTCCCAAGCCCTTACCTATACCGGTTTAGGGGTTAGGTTTTAGGCTTTAGGGTTGAGGGGAGGCACGCAGAAATCTCCAGGCAAAAGGCCGTCAAACGTGAAGCCCCTGAACCCGAAGCCCTGCTAGCAGAAACCCAAACTCCTTCTTTACCCTAAACCCTAAACCCTAAACCCTAAAGCTCCAAGGATCCATTTTGTAAGGCCCAAAGACCATACTATGAAGGGCTTTTGGGCTATTTTGAGCCTTAGGGAAAAGGGCTTAGGGTTTAGGGTTTAGGGTTTAGGGTTTAGGGATTGTAGAAGGAATTCACTGGTTGTTTAGTGGCTTTCAGGATCCGAAGGGTTGCCGTTTTTGGGCGCAGGGCTTTGGGTTATGACGGTTTAGGATTTATAGGGTATTGGGTTTTGCATAGGCCCGCTTGCAAGCCTCCTTAGAAGCCCTTAAACCCTAGAACCTTAAAACCCCTAAACCCTAGAACCTTAAAGCCCCTAAACCCTAGAACCCTAAAGCCCTTACGCCCTAGAACCCTCAAGCCCCTAAGCCCTAGAACCCCAAAGCCCGCAAACCCTAATCGCCCTAAGACCATAAACCCAGGCATGCAGCTTTTTGGCCCCGAGCCGAGTGCGGCCACGCACAGCACGGCTGCACGGCTCCTGGGTGAAGGGGCGCCAGCGCAGGCGCTTTAGGGTTGCGTGGGGGCCGTTCAGGGTTTAGGGTTGTTTTGGGCTCCGAGAAACTCCAGAAACCCTGAACCCCCAGCCCTATACCCTAAACCCTCGCTTGGTTCGTTCTTGCAGGTACTTCCCGGCGTTTAGGGTGTCGGGTGTATTGGCTCCACGGTTCTAGTAGGGTTCTGGTAGGGTTTAGCGATTTGGGGCCCAGAGTTTCAGTGTAAGGCAGGATTACAGGAGCCTGAACGGTATCTCACGGTCTTCTCAATTCGCTACCAACAACACATACACAGACATGCAGACACACACACATACACACACGCACGCAC